TCAATACTTCTAATAGGGAAAAATTACTACACCCATCTCTTTTGTAAAAATCAATACCCATAAGCTACTAGCAACTATCTACTAGTTCTCCAGTATTTGTAATGGGGAAACAAAAAGATGAATTCCAGTATATTTCCCCAATCAAAGTTTTTTACATACAAAATCTCAATAAGCAGACACAAATGAAGGAACATAGAAATATTAGATTCTGATTTATATGAAAGAGTCTTTAGATTTTTCCTCATTTTTGAACAGCTCAAGAATGAACTACATTTAGTTTTTGGTTTTTATCTGGTCCTAGAATTATTCTTCATTTTTCTTTCTCTTTTGCTTCTTCATCTCTGAATGCAAAAGTTAATCTATCTACAAGGTTTTGCCATCATAGGTACATCAGGTCATTATCACAATAAAAAATAGAGAGATAAGGAAAACACATAACATCAACGAAGCAGCACCAAATCGACACAAGAGCAATGGAAGAACAACAATTAACCAAAAGAGATGGTATTTGAATTTAGATGATATTGTTACATGAGTGATAGGTAAAATTCAACAAGAAGTTGATTCTGTAGCATTTTAAGCAAAAACAAATAAGAGCTTATTTCATTATCTACCTACCAAACATAAGCAAGATTTGCAAAATGGCACTATGTGCGTGTCACGACCCTAACCCCGAACCCGGTCGTGATGGCACCTCTCGTGAAGACAAGGCCAGCCAGTTCAACCTAACTCAACTTTTAAAGCAGTTAATCAACATAAAAATAGTCTAAACATGATTTAAACAATACTAAATAGCGGAAATATCGATAACAATGCGGAAAGTCCAATCCGACACAGCCCTAACCAGGGTGTCACAAGTCACAAGCATCTCTAAACCATAATACTAGTCTGCTAAAGTCTTAAACTACTACAAGTGTTTGAAATCAAAAAGAAATGATAGAGAAGTAGAGACACGGGACTGCGGACGTCAACAACTACCTCGTAGTCTCCAAAAACCGCCTGGAACTGGAGGAATCAGCACTCAGGAGCAGTACCAGCTACGCCTGAATCTGCATACAGGTTGCAGAGAGTAAAGTGAGTACTCCAACTCAGTGAGTAACAAATTTAAATAACGACTGAAAGTAAGAAAACACGTAAAACATAAGGCATTCTATACTGAAGCAGTAAAAAAATCACTTAAAACAGTAAAACAGTGAAGAGTCAAGTAAAATCCCTTTTTAACAAGTAAAACAAGTAATTGATAGGTAAGTGAACAAATAGAAGTTCGCCCCTCGGGCATAGTATCAATGAATCTGCCCCTCGGGCAACATCTCAGAACAGTACCAGCCCCTCGGGCTCAATCTCAGAACAATATCATCCCCTCAGGCTCAATCTCACATTACAATGGGTACCCGCGCTCACTGGGGGTGTATAGACTCCGGAAGGGGCCCCTTATGGCCCAAGCGCATTATCAAGCCATCTCGTAGCATCAAATCTAGGCCCTCGGCCTCATATCAATCAAGCCACCTCGTGGCATATTTGTGTATCTCAGGTCATCGGCCTCATATCAGTATCAATGTATCCTCATAACTAGGCCCTCGGCCTTACTCAGTCTAAAAATCATCACAAGCCCTCGGGCAATAGTAAAACAGTATTTTTCAGCCCAAAACATCATTTAAAATATTATTTAAGTCTCAAAACTAAGTAAAAATGGTTAAGTAGTAAAACAGTGGAAAATAACGTGACTGAGTTCAAGTAATAAGTCAAAACAATGAGGAAATAGTAATAAACATCACCGAAGGATTCAAATAGTTGGCACGAAGCCCAAATATGGCAATCATCCCAAATCATGATGATAGTAAATAAGTTTCAGTTAAATACGCGCAAAATCATCAATCGGGACGGACCAAGTCACAATCTCCAATAGTGCACGACCCCACGCTCGTCATCAAGCGTGTGTCTCACCTCAATATAGCACTACGATGTGCAATTCTGGGTTTCAAACCCTCAGAGCATTATTTACAATCATTACTCACCTTGAACCGGCTAAATCTCTAACTCGCGACGCCTTTGCCCCTTGAATCGGCCTCCACGCGCATCGAATCTATCCAAAATTAGAAGGAATACGTCAAAATATGCTAAGGGAACAAAGCCCAAGCGAAAACAATCACCAAAGGGCACGATTCCCGAAATTACCAAAACCTGAGCCTCAGTCCCACGTCTCAAATTCGGATAAAATTTACATTTTTAGAATCCTCATACCCTCACGAGTCTAACCATACCAAAATTATCCAATTCCAGTACAATTTGGTCCTTCAAATCATCATTTTATATTTTTGGAAGTTTCCACAAATTTTCTTCCCAAATTCCATCTCAAATCACGAATTAAATGATGAATTCAAGGATAGATTCATGTACTCTAGCCAAATCTGAGTTAGAATCACTTACCCCGATGAATTTCTTGAAAAACCTTCGAAAAATCGCCAAAATCCGAGCTCTCTAGGTCAAAATATTAAATAAAACCCAAAACCTCTTATTTATAGAGTACCCCACAGATTTCCACCTCTGCGGTCCGCACAAAAATGACCGCAGTCCGCACAAAACCAGTGTGGTCCGCAAAAAAACGATTGCGGTCGCACATGTTTTCATCTGCAATGACAGACTTTAGTATTTTGGCCATAACTTTCGCTACAGATCTCCAAATTATGATATCCTTACCTTTCTTAAAACTGCACACGAAGGACTACAACTTTTGTTTTTGAATCATCTCAAACTTTCTTGTAGATCAAAACATATGAGCTTCCGAAGCAGGACCGGTGAATAGCTCCCCACCGCGGCCGCACTGCATTTTGTGGGGTCCGCACAGCACCTACCTTGGCCGCACTTCTTTTTGTGCGGTCCGCACATCACCTACCTTGGCCGCACTTCTTTTTGTGTGGTCTGCACAGCACCTACCTTGGCCGCACTTCTTTTTGTGCGGACCGCGCTAGTGGGTTCTGAGGCCTGCAACCCTTCTGGACCTGCTACAGCTATGATTTTCAGCCTAAAACATCCCGGAACCTACCCGGAACCCCCGGAACTTCAAACCAATTGTACCAACATATCCCATGATATCGTTCAAACTTGTTCAACACTTCAGAACGCTCACAACAATATCAAATCACCAATTTAACATAGGATTCAAGTCTAAGAACTCCAAGAACTCTTAAATTATGCTTTCGATCAAAAAGTCTATCAAATCTCGTCCGAATGACCTGAAATTTTGCACACACATCCCAAATGACACAACGAAGCTACTGCAACTCTCGGAATTACATTCCAAGCCTATATCAAAATCTCGCCTATCAACCGGAACCGCCAAAATATCAACTTCGCCAATTTAAGCCTAAATCTTCTCTACAACTCCAAAACACATTCCGATTGCGCTCCTAAGTTATAAATCACCTCCCGAAGCTAACCGAACCATCAGAACTCACTTTCGATCCTTATAACACATAAGTCAACATCCGGTTGACTTTTCCAACGTAAGCCTTCTTAAAAGAGACTAAATGTCTCAAACTTCACCAAACTCATTCTGGACTCGATCCGCCCAATCCGATACCACTAAAATACGGATAACGAAGCATAAAGAAGCTAAAATGGGGGAAACGGAGCGATAACTCTTTGAGACGACTGGCGGGATCGTCACAGTGCGAAACTTGTGAGGTCAAAAAGACAAGCAAAAGTTGTAAAGCTAAATAAGGACAGTAGGGTATCCATTGCCTAAAAAGGTGCAATTTTGCTTCTTTTGCTTTAGCCCAAAGAAGAGAGAAAAACACATTATATACAGATGGTAAGAGAGTCGCGCAACATAGAATGTAAGAGAAAGTTTAAACTTAAATATGAAGCTCCCTGCATTTGACTATCAAGATTAGCCTACGTTAAAAAGAATGTAAATTACTAACATACCTTCCCATAAATACTCAAATACTTGACTGTATAAGTTATATCATGTACTGAACAATAATAACGATTGCAATGCAAATGCATATTTGATGCAAATTCTACACAAATCCCATTTGCCCATCCCAAATGCAACTTGAATAAGTGGAAAAAATTGAGTAAGAAGGTGAAGAAGAAGGTGAGTGAATGGAAAACATTGGTAGAAGATGCTACTAGAGTAGAGGGTTCATCAAGCTTGAATTTAGATAAATTAGTGAAGGATGTACTTCTGTCCAAGAATTCAGTTCATTAGTAGATATATTGCTTAACTCAAAATGAACAAAAAAAGGTCAAACCCGAAAGTATGAGTTTCTTACTTTTAGAAGAAAAAAGAGAATGGCAACAAGGATACAAGCAGTATCAAGTAAACAAACAACAAATTGGAGGGGTAGTAAAACACATCTTATTTCCACCTCTATAACTCCAATCTTTATTCATGTACAATTTTCTTTTTCATTTTTTTTCCTTATTTTATGTCCTTTCTGAACTTTATATGAATGCACTCTTGGCATATAATGTGCGACCAATTTAACTTATGGTTTAAAAACCAGGAAAAAGGTAAGAAAATGATCAACTAATATAGTACCTAGTTGTTTAAAAAGTACTGGAGATGTAACTATTACAAGTAATGGAGAACTAGTAGCTAGTAGCTAGTAGCTTAAAAAGAATGGCCACAACCCCCCCCTCCCCAAAAGGCCAAAAGTACCGTCTAGTATTGACAATCATACATCCCGTCTCGATTCCTATTATGCAACAGAGGCTAGTCTTGATTAACAGTTGCAGACCAAAATGAAACTAAAGACAGAATGCCAGACTCAAACCCCATGTGATTTATGCTACTAATTGCCAAACTTTTACCACCCCAAACCAATCAATATTCTTTTCAACAAACACAATCCTAAAGAATCTGTGACCCATTTTTCTAAGATGACATTTTTCGAGTGCAGAAAAAATAGTAGAGCAATAAACATACAACAACAAGAACAAACACATCCCCGAGTATAATGGCGATTATAGCTAATGAACTAGAAATTCAGAAGAACAAATGCATCATTTTAGGGGACTCATAAGAAAATTAACTTCATCCTTTGCCTCTGAAGAAGGCTTAAGAAAGATCAGTACTATTAGAAGAAAGAGCAGTACTAATGAGCAGTACTATTAAACTAGCTTAAAACTCCTTACAGCTCTCAGCATTCACCACATCCTCAGACTTAAAACTAATGAGACTTTTACAGTTTTTGGAGCTCTTTGCATTTTGAAAAGCTCATTAATAAGTTACCAACAAATAAGCTAGTTTAAAATAAAGCTCATTAATTTTACATGGGTTGTCTCCGCGCGCGGATCGACTCAAGTCGTTTTTATTCTATCCTTCAACTTCTTCATGTGGATTTCCTCAAATACCTCATTATGAGTAACTAGTCTTCCTTTAGCCTTTTCCTGAAAAATAAACAATATCTTAAGAAATGATATATTCCCTATATATTCCCAATTACATCTGGAAAGAACTTAATCATCTTCGTTATTCTTCTTCCTATCTCTGCCATTATATTCGCTCTTTAACGTGCCAATTCATAAATGCACATAAGTTAACCAAAAGATTACTTTTTGGATAGAATAGACTTTTCAACGAAAGAGAAGTGGGTGAAAAGTTGAAAAATAATGTTCAGAGAAAAGATGTACAATGTACTAGTCCCCTAAGCAGTACATCACTATTTTGATCATTTTCATATATTTTCACACGGCACACCTGCTCCTTATATACCTAATTACTGTTTTAATATTTCTCCTTTTAATGCTTAATAAGTACTATCTTAGGCAAAAGCACTTCCTAAGCACTATCCGTTTCTGGTTAAATTAACTCGTGCTGCATAATCAGAAGAGCTTGAAGGGAAAAAGGATAACTAGAAAAACTAATTTCGAACATTCGAAGCAATAGAATATCTTGGTTTACATATCTAAAATACGAAATGACCAGTAGTCATGCTGATTATAGGTTTGACGAATACACTTTACTGAGAGTACATCTGATCTAAGTAAAGAAAACCAAATTTAAATTTAAAAATCAGCCTTTTCACAAACAATGAACTTACTCCATAATGCCAAATCACCCATCACTTAATTCACACACACACAAGACACAAATCTCAAAACCCCGCATGCTCTAACAATAGATATCTATTTCATAAATAAAAAAGAAAAAACTTACAGTACAACATACTTTTTCAACATTATTAGATGTCAAGCTAAATATATCAACAACTACTCAGATTATAACATGTTAACTGAGAACTTACTCACATATGCGTAGATAGGAGATATGAAGTATATTACTCTGAATGATAGTCGAAAACTTTGCCATGACTGGCGTAACATAGTACTGCTGGATCCTGAAGACTGTAAGCCCCTTTCTAGGTGAGTTGATGTCTTCTGTTATAACGATTAAAGTTTATTAAAGTATATATCGAGGTTTGAAACAGTATAAAATTAAGAGAACAACATTAATTTTTTAAACCTAGGGTTTAAAACAGTATAAAATCCCTAAAATTCGAAGTCTTTTGGGGGAAATCAAAACGAAAAAAGGAGATCGGGTGAGTGAGTGAGAGAGAGAGAGGTCGACTTACCTGGGAATGGAAACTCGTCTCTGCGTGGAGTGAGAGAGACGAAAAATTTTATTTTGAGTCTCATACAACTGATACTAGTTGTATGAGCAACTTTTTTGTCTCACAGTTTTATGGACCCAGATTTCTGTAGACCAGAAGTATATTGGGGTCCACAAATTTGTAAGACAAAAATGAGTCTCATACAACTAGTATAAGTTGTATGAGACACAAAATAAATCTTCTCGAGAGAAACAGAGGGGGAAAACACTAAAAGACCTGAGAGAAAAGTTGTAAAACGTTAATAATAAAAAGTTTCCCACTACTACCGTGGGAAAGTTCTGTGGGAAAGTTTTTTCATAATTATTAAAAAAATTAAAAATTCAAAAAATTTCGTACACATTTTATTGTTTGTTTAAGTTCCCATTGTCTTCTCTGGGATTTTTTTTTGAATTGTATAATATTATTTTTTTAATAAATTTTTTCACTGAATCGGAGAGAATTAAAAGGCGCGCATTTTTCCGCCAAAACTTTCCCACGAATAGTTTATGGGAAATGTTATTTATTCGAAAATTTTAATTTTTCCATTGTATTTCGGTGGGAATTGCCACTAATAATTTTTTTCGTGGGAAATTTTCGTAGGAAAATGCTATGTTTCTAGTAATGCAGAGGAATCATAAAATAAATAAAGGAAAACTCACGAGCGAAGTTCCACGTCTCTGGGAACCCTGTCGAGTCCGCCACAAGGTGCTCTATCCGCACATAGAAGTAGTTTTCCCAGAAGCGGCGATTGGCCTTATCGTCCATCTTCACCACTAAGCTCTTGGTTCCTCGATGATGCATATGGATCATTGAACCCCGAAGAAATTGAGGGACAAAGATATGAAGCAGGTGCCTCAAAGAAATTCCTCGCCGGCAAGCTTTGCATGCTTGATAAGCATGAGGAAGAGTTTGTACACGTACGGAGAGAGTTGGGTCGGGCACACTTCGTAAAAGTGGCAGAAGTCCACCAACATAGAGGTGAGAGGAAGCGTGTACCTGATGTCGTGCCCCCTTTTTCTCGCAAAATCGGGTTTATGACATTTTGAAGGACAACTCGTTCCTTTTGGAAACTAGGTTTTTGCATTTGAAGAGTCGCCACCTAATGATTAAGGTGCATTAGGACACCAATCGAGATTCAATTATAAGTTTGTTTAGGTAACCAGAGATTGGGTAAGGGCTTGAAATTATCCCAAGGGGAAGGTGTTAGGCACCCCTTAGGATCCACTAGTGTGGTTTCAATGCACAATAGTTTGAAAGTAAACAAAGTTTGAAAGAGCAATTAAAAGAGCCGATTTTAAATAAGGAGTTACAATGCTTAAAAAAAGAAGGGAAAATAAAGAAAGGGGGTCCTAGGTTTACAAAAAATATGGATCACATCAATGCAATACCTGAAATTACTCCTCAAAAGAAGGGGTTACACGTGGCATTAGCGTACCGGTCATCATATACATATCTACCCTTCCCACCCCGTTAAGGTATTACAGCGCAGATTGGTCTTGATTACTATTGTATGTTATTACCTGTCCCTATCCTATCAGTCCCGGAGGCACTTAGGACTACTATTCCTAAAGGGAGGAGATATTAGGCTAATTGGTTTCAAAGGATAAAAATCTAAGGCGACATACAAAAACAGATAATATGGCATATAAAGGGGAAGCATGTAAACAGACAAAGGGCTCTTGTATACCTCCTCAAAACAAAAGCACATAACTAACATGACTTGCACATACTTTTTAGGTCTGATTTAAAGCACATAAAGACGAGGGAAGTTAATTGTTGAGGCAGATCAATTTATAACTCAGATAAGAAGTCTGAATCAGGCCTGCCTACTGGTTGTAACAATTAACAAAGGCGGATTCAATTTTACAGTTATTACTCTAAATCTTACCTAAGTGTTTAGACAGGGTCCTATATGCATTATATCTACTAAATTCAGAAGGTGGTGAACAGTTATAACTCAATACGTACTACTTGAAATCCTATAGGCATGCTTGCTAAACCTTGTTGAAACTAAGGGAACTATTAAACATAGGTTCAGAATAGACGAATTTAAATTAGACTAGTTCCAAATTCTGTAGATGATGGTATCTACTATTACTGGCTCTAATCCACATGGGCATGATATCTAATATTGAATGTGAATGGAACGACTCAAATTTATTTAAGTACCCCTATAGGCATGATTTCTATGTGTTACTGATTTCAGCATGCTACTAGGTTATAACCAATTGGGCCCTAAAAAAGACATGATATCTAAACGGTGAGAAATGTGTAGAATTTTAGACAATCCCTATAGGCAGGTTATCTAGATGTGATGTTGAAAAAGTCCTATAGACATGGTTTCTAAATGTAATGTGAATATAAAGAATTGGAGCAGTCCTATAGGCATGTTTTCTAAATGCGATTTGAACAAGTAGAGAATGCAGTCCTATATGCATGTTTTCTACCCTTGAGCATGCATAATTTCCCAACCCTTTTTTCACTAGCCAGTCTTAAATGTTCATTACAAATTATTACAAACCATGAATAATAAATTACATTAGAAAAAGTACAAAGAAATGTTACAACCAGAGGAAGCCTGATTCTTGACTTCCTCTCTGAGTTATGAGATAAACTAACTCAAAATACTATTGATCCAAAGCTTTTCTCATACTTGAGTGTGTCAGAGTTCCCTAAGGGCCTCAATAGGACCCCGGACAGTGCTCACACCCAAGTTTCATAACCAGAATAGGGACAAGTGCAGTGTGGAACTGCCAGCCCTCAAGTGTCCAAGTTCAGAGGTAGCTCATGTCCCAAGGCAAGGCTCACATGAGGGGGAGGGGCAGAACTTAAGTCTAAGAAGAGAGTGAAAAGTGCAAAAACTGAGTTCTAAGAACTGAGGGAATAAAGGAGAGGGAAAGGGTGAGGGGAATCAGCCATTAACACTTCAAAGAATTGATAACTTCACGCAAAGGGGGCAGAGGATTGGGACTCCATTGCAAGAGGGCCTATATACTTAGGCATGGGTTAATTTTGGGCATGCACAACAAATAGTGAGTGTTATCATGCTTGTAAATCAACCAGAACACACAACATATAAGGGTAACATGGAGGTTATGATCCTAGGAGGATCAAGTTTGGGTCATGCTCAGCAATATTCAATGATGTCATGCCCCAAACTAACCACAAGTATTAATCACATTGGGGTAGGAATTTTGGATTCATAATACATTGATTTAGAACAGGAGAAATGAAATTACAACATGCTAAACAATGCTACTGAATTAAATACAAGCAGTAGGCAGACAAGAATGCAAAATCAGTAAGTAAGCATGTTGTTGTTGGTGCTGAAAAACTTAATTAGAATATACCAGTCAAAGAAGTAAAGTGCAGTAAAGAAAAGCAGCAGGACTTCGAAATATAGCCTTGGCTTTCAGCCGGCTAAACAGGTAGTAACCCAAGTAGTAGTAAAGCAAGAAAGAGGGTTTGAGTGTAAGTGTGAGTTCAGAACTAAAAGTGTTCGCGTTTTAGAAAGAGAAGAAGTAACGTGCGTTTATAGTTTTTGGAGAACAAGTAAGAAAGAGGTAATAAGCTACAAACATGGAAACAATCATGATTCAGAATCAATTATACAAATGATTGCCCTGAATTAAGGGGTCACTTGCTTAACGGGCAGTGACAGGTTCGAAATAAGGAAAGCAATCAATTAAAAGCAGCTGAAAGTTGCCATAAAAGATGTAGTAAAATAACAAGTAAGAAATTCGAGTCTAGGTACAGAGATACTCTAATTTTGGAAAGGATCCAGTAAGGCAAAACAGGAAAGAAATCAATTAACCTTAATAGGCGAGTGAAATCAGAATCTCACAAAGGAAAAGTTTAAACTTAGTCACGAGTTTGAAAATTAGTCAAAGAAAGAGACTCAACATATAAATAGGGTGCATAAACATTATACATGCGAGGCTAGGCCTGTTGGCAAGAAGAAATAGCACACAACAGTAGCACAAAGATTCAGTAGATAGCAACACTCGAAGCATGACAGTCCAGTAGGTCAAGTAGTGAAGACAACATAGAATATCAAAAGCATGCAAAGGTCTCACAGAGCAAGTGAGGAAAACCCCTTTAGAAAAAATAGGGTTTCGAGCATATTTGAGTTTTAGAGAAGATAGAAACCCAGCAATCAGATGAATCACAACAAAGGGAGCAAAATATTTCAAAATAAAGAACTTCAAATCGAGTCATGCGCTTAAACGAACAGTCTCAGACCCAAAACCCTGGGATTTTCAACAATAAGAGAGTTTTAAAAGAGAATAAGCAAACACATCGGACAAAACTCAGGCAAACAAACATTCGTTTAGTAAACAGTTAAAAGAAATTGGGGGTTTTAACATGCAAACTCAGGTAGAAGAACGATATAAGCAAACATATCCAAACATGTCAAAGAATCAGAGAAACATTTTGAAATAACTTAACCGAAACCCTAATCGGAAAGATAAGGGGTTTTGAAAGCAGAGTTTTAAAAGAAAATTTGAGAAAAATACTTAGGAGTTCAGAGCAAACATAGATCTGAAACAGATCTAAAAAGAAATCGAAGGAACCTTAATGGCTAAGGTTTCAGAAGAACCCCAAGTGGTGAGAAATGCTTTGAAAAGCAATGATCTAAGCAGGAGAGACAAGAGTCTGACTCGAATAGCCATGGCTGGCTGGAGAAAAAGTCAGAGACGACCGGAGAATAGTCATGAACTGCAATCGAACAAGCCTGGACCAAGCTCTTTCGCAATCTAGCCTCGAGACCATAATAATCGAGCACGTAGAAGCCATGAGAGGTGGATATAGGTCTCTGATGACTTTGGGAAGCATAGCTTTGGGGAGGTATTAGGGTTGTAGTTGATGGCGGCGGCTAGGGTTTGAGAGGATTTGAGAGAGAGTTGAGAGAGAAGGGGATTCAGAGGCGGCAGAATTGGAAATGAAGCTAGGGTTAGGGGTCGTTTGAATTAAAAAGGCAAGGATGGTTGTTGGCCGTTGATCTGAATGATCAACGCCCTGTATCAAAACGGGCAAATGGGCGGGTTATGAAGATGAGTTTGAGTCGGATTAAATCAAAATTGGGTCGGGGGTTCAAATGGTTTCAATTGAGTTCAATTGGGATCAGAATTAGGCTATAATCGAAATGAAATTGGGCTAACATTTAAATAACCAATTTTCCTATTTAATTTATAAAAAATAATAAAT